ACCAAGGCCTGAGCTGAGATCAAGCATCAGATGCTCAACCAACTGAGCCACCTAGGTGCTCCTGGTATTTGTAGTACATTCTATAAATCTGTCTTAGAGAATTTTTTTTTTGTGCTCTAGCTTATTATCAGTTTCCTCATTTTATTTATACTTATTTATTTTTATTATTTAGTTTTTTTATTATTGAACTACAGTGGATATACAATGTTATATTAGTTTTAGGTGTGCAAAGTAGTGATTTGACAATTCTATACATTACACAGTGCTGACCATAATAAGTATAGTTGCTGCTGGTCAAATGCAAGGTCACTACAATATTATTATTATTATTATTATTATTATTATTATTATTTAAATTTATTTATTTTGAGAGAGAGAGAGAGGGAGACAGTGAATGGGGGAGGGGCAGAGAGAGGGGGGGAGAGAGAGAGAATCCCAGGCAGGCTCTGCACTATCAGTGTGAAGCCTGATATGGGGCTCAAACTCACAAACAGTGAGATCATGACCTGAGCCGAAACCAAGAGTCGGATGCTCAATGGACCGAGCTACCCAGGCGCCCTGGTCACTACAATATTATTGACTATATTCTCTATGTTGTACTTTTCATCTCATCTTTCATCTCTCTGACTTACTTTATAAGTGGAAGTTTTATCTCTTAATGCTCTTGACCTATTTTTGTCCATCCTCCCATCTCCCCTCCTTCTGGCAGCCACCAGTTGTTCTCTATATTTATGAGTCTGCTTCTTACAAATCTGTTTTGTTGGCTGTCGGTTTTAGAAAATTCTCATCCATTATTTCTTTTGAATTTATCTCCCTCTCCTCTCCTGGCTCTCCAGTTACGCTTTGGTTAGATTTTTTTCACCGTATCTCAGACGTTTCTTACACTTTTTCTTGTATATTTCCATCCTTTTCTTTTTTTTTTTTAAGCTTATTTATTTTGAGAAAGAGAGAAAGTGCATGCGTGCAAGTAAGTGGCAGAGGGGCAGAGACAGAGGGAGAGAGAGAATCCCAAGAAGGCCCTGCCCAGCGTAGAGCCCCATGTGGGGCTCAATCTCACGACCGCAAGATCACAACCTGAGCTGACATCAGGAGTTGGATGCTTAACCCACTGAGCCACCCAGGCACCCTCATTTTTGAAATATATGTTTTTTATTAAGTAAACTCCACACCCGACATGGGGCTTGAACTCACGACCCTGAGATCAAGAGTCACGTGCTCTACTGACTGAGCCAGCCAGGTGCCCCACTTTTGTGTTTCTGTAATTCAATCTGAATATTTTGTTCTGCCTTATCTTCCAGTTTTCTGATTCTCTTTTCAGTGGCATAAATGGCTTTTATATCTTTCCAATGAGTTCAGTTCCAGTTTTTCAGTTATTTTATGTTTCATTTTTACAATTGTCCTTTGGTTCTTAAAAAAATCCATTTTCTCTGATAACTGTTGCTGCATAATGAACGACCCCAAAACTTAGTAGTTTAGAACAACAGCGAATGTGCTAGCTTGCAATTGTGGCTGGGCTCACTGGACTGTTCTTTTGGTTTCTGCTTGCGTCACTCATGCATATATGGTCAGCTGTCAGGTTGGCTACAGATGGCAGCAGATCTAGGGTGGCCTCAGTTGTGGTTGTTTCCCTTCGCTCTGTGTGATCTCTTATCTTCCAGCAGGCTATCTTAGACTTGTTAACACGTCAGCTAGACAAGGCTCCCAGAGAACAAGTAGAAATGGGCGATGCCTCTTCAGACATAGGCTTAGAATCGGCACAACCTCATTCTTGCTGCAATGTATTGCAAAGGCCAGCCCAGTTACAGGAGGTAGGGAAACGAACCCCATCTTTTGACGAGGGGAGGAGCCACAAAGTCACATTGCAAGAGGCATGGCCAGATTTGCATTCTATCACACTGGTTTTCTGCTGAAATTTTCAAACTTTAAATTTTAATTCCTTGAAACATTAAACATAATTACCTTAAAGTTTATGACCGATACTTCTGTTATCTAGATGCCCCTTGAGCCTGTTTCTATTGCCTGTATTTTCTTTTGGGTTTTGGACACGTTTCCTCTTCTTTTTTTTTCAACGTTTATTTTTATTTTTGGGACAGAGAGAGACAGAGCATGAACGGGGGAGGGGCAGAGAGAGAGGGAGACACAGAATCGGAAACAGGCTCCAGGCTCCAAGCCATCAGCCCAGAGCCCGACGCGGGGCTCGAACTCACGGAGCGCGAGATCGTGACCTGGCTGAAGTCGGACGCCTAACCGACTGCGCCACCCAGGCGCCCTGAACACGTTTCCTCTTCTTATGCTGGCTTGTTTTTTTATTTCATTTTGGACACTATGCATTAGAAATAACTTAATGCCCGTGTCGATGTTATTTTCCTCCAGGAATAACTTACATTTGCCTCTAGTAGACAGCCAGGTCAGAAATACTGGAAATTCTAGATCACTTTAATCCAGTTCAGAGTTGAGATCATTCAAAACTAGGCTTCAGTTCCTGTGAGATCTTGTCTACTTCTTGTTCACTGTTACTCTCAGAGTGTAGCTCTTCATGGTACTACCACCAAATCTGATGGATGTTAGGTATACCCACTTGTTAACACGAGGTCCCTGAACCCCATGTTCTTTTAGTTCCTTGAGTTTATTGCAAACCTCCAGGGATAGAAGTAAAAAATGCTGGTCTTACCTCTCTGAGTTTCCTTCTTCCAGATCTTGGCTCCATAATATTTCACTGTTTTGTTAGCTCCCTGATGCCTTTAGCAACATGCTTTTATATTTTGCTCGTTTTTTTTTTTTCTAGTTTTTCTTTGTGGGAGGGTTGGTTAGCATGTATTAATGTGGTCTTCCATTATTAGAATTAGAATTCTTTAGGGGCACCTAGGTGGCTCAGTCGGTTGAGCGTCTGACTTTGGCTCAGGTCATGATCTCACGGTTTGTGTGTTCGAGCCCCGTGTCAGGCTCTGAGCTGTCAGCACAGCATGTTGGAGCATGCTTCGAGTTCTGTGTCTCCCTCTCTCTCTCTTGCCTCTCACCCCCTCATGCTGTCTCTCTCTCAAAAATGAATAAACATTAAAAAATAAAAAAGAATTCTTTAGATGACTTTCTTAACTCTTCAGTGTATGCTGTGAAATAAAAGTATGTTCTGCTCTCAGATCACAAACCCTCTGGAGTCAGGAAGCATGTCTTAAACACAAAGAGGCCCCACCTCTTCAGGGCCCTGGTCACACTGGGGATTGTAACCATTGGGGATTGTTCTCAGGATCTCTGTGCAATATTTGATAGGTTGGCCTGTTCTCATACATAGGACCATAGGAGACAAAGGCACAATGTCTGTTTCAAGTTTGGCAATGGGCTGAGCCAGTTCAAATCATGAGACTATGCATAGGAATCCCGTGTGTTTTCTTTGTTTTTGTGTTTTTTTAAAGATTCTTTTTTTAAAAAAAGTAGTATCTACACCCAACACGGGGCTCAAACTTACAACCCTGAGATCACGAGTCGCATGTTCTACTGACCGAGCCAACCAGGTGCCCAGGAACCCTATGTGTTTTATTCTTAGGAGTGTCAAGATCAAAGAAACACAGTCTATCAACCAAATAGTAATTAAACTTTCTTTGATTATTTACTCCGGCTCCTGAGGAAATGCCAAGGTGAAGGTGTGGTTGGGAGTGAGGGCATTTATAATGCATGTAAGACATCTAAAAATCTCCTTCTCCCTCGCTTTCCCCTCAACGTCCTCTATGTTAACAGATTTGTTTGTATAACAATCCCCATCTCTTATTCTCTCTTCCAAATTCTTTCTGAGCCTCTCTGGCAGACCTTTTCATTTCCTGCATCCACGGGGCCATGCCACATAGCTCCCCTGCCAAAAATGGCCACTGAAACTTCTGTTTTTCTTCACTGACAGCACTAGGCTTTCCTAGGTCAGGCAACAGCAAGCAGCTCTGTCACACCCCTGTTAATTAGCATACATCTCGATCCCTGTGGAGGACAAGTGCTGGCATATACCAAGGCAGTGTGCTTTTATTTTTCTCTAATTCTCCTTTTTTTCTTAAAAAAATTTGTTTTAATGTTTATTTATTTTGGGGAGACAGAGAGACAGAGTAGGAGAGGGGCAGAGAGAGAGACACACACACAGAATCCGAAGCAGGCTCCAGGCTCCGAGCCGTCAGCACAGAGCCCGACGCGGGGCTTGAACCCAGGAAGCGCGGGATCACGACCCGGGCCGGAGTCGGACCCTCAACCAACTGAGCCACCCAGGCGCCCCTTTCTCTAATTATTCTTTAGGGATCAATCCCCATGGAGACTTTCTAGGGACTAGAAACTTGGCAAACATTAGTAAGTAATGACCACAGTTTGATGTGCTAAGTGCTACCAGAGAGGGTTATGAACCTCGCTCTGTGGGAGGACAGCGGAGCGAGCTATGGATTCAACTTGGAAGGCCAGGCTTCCTGGGTGTGGCCCTTCAGAATTTCCAGCAGTCACCGCTGGCCAGTAGTGGCTGCCTCAGCACCGCAGGGAGGGAGTCACGTCGGATATGGTGTTTGTAACATTGTGGTTAAGAGCCCATCCTGTAAAAGCAAATTGAGTGGATTTCAAGCTCATTGTTCTTACCGTGTAGCTTGGGCTAGTTACTTTTAAGTTCTTTCTAACTCAGTTTTTTTTTTTTTTTCACCTGTAAAATGGGGATAAAACTCTCATAAGGTCACTGTTAAAACATGTAGTTAAATATAGTTAAAACACATGAAGTATTTAAAATCTGCTGCCCACAATAGTAAGTCGAGAGAGTTTAGCTATTATTACTGGCCGGTGGGCTCCTTTAGACAAGTGGCACAGAGCCTGGGGAGAGGGGAGGCAGGAAAGGGAAGTACACTTCTAGGCTCTCTTAGCCTCTGGTCTCCTCATAGGTGTCCCCATCTTCTTGCCACAAGGGAAGTCCCATCCGATTGCCCACAATGTTCAGGGCTGATGCCCTTCCTACCTCCTCCAGCCTGAGTTCTCTTCTCTGGAATCCCTAGATTCTGCTAAGCGTGTGGTTGGACTCTCAGGAACATGTCTCCGGTTATGGCCTCCCAAGACACTGACAAAGAACATAGAATCTGTTCAATGGAAGAGGCCGGGGCCCTCACCTTCAGAATTTTCTGTGATACTGACATGGAAGTGTGGGTCTAATTATTGCAGCGATAAAAATTGGACTTTGAGTCATCTCAACAAAAGATTCGGTTTTATAACCCAGAACTTCAGTCTCACCATCCAGGCAGCTCAGCAGCAGGACAGCGGCTTCTACATCTTTGAGGCGACTGATGAGCGTGGGAAAGTTCAGAACTACATGTTCCAGGTTTCTGTGTTTGGTGAGTCCCTAGAACGGCGTGGCCTGCCCCTCGGACTCCTGTAGGACTTTTATTTCCAGTGCCTTTCTGATCAGAATCTCTGCTTCCAGATCACGTAGGGGAGCCCCACGTACTACAGGACTCGAAGGTCCTGGAGGGAGGGAGGTGCCAAGTGACTCTGTCCTGCTCGGTCCCCAGCGGTGATAACGTGAGCTATGATTGGTATAGAGGGAGCGTGCTGATCGAGAGAGCAAGGAATCACAGCACGCTGGAGGACCAGATCAACGCCAACAGCTCGCACATATATACCTGCAATGTCAGCAACTCGGTCAGCTGGACAAACCGCACCTTCATCCTGCACTGTCCGGGTGACTCCCAGCGTAAGTGGAGCACTTTGGGCTCTAACAGGGGCTGAAAGTGTTGGACCCCATAACCAGGCTCATGCCCGACATACCTGGGCATGAGATCCCTTGGCTGCCTTGCAGCATCTCCTTGGGGCAGTCCTGGTCTCTGGGCACACAGTTCCCATAAACCAGGCTTATCTTAGTCGGGATGAGTTTCATCCCCATCAAGCATCTCCCAGAAGATTCGAGTTTTTCCTTCATTTTAGGGAATGCTGGTCTGTTTGATGAGTCACAGCCCTGCTATGGCTGCTGATTATCCCTTCCTGGGAGAGACTGATGGGGAACCTATTTCCTCCTCCCAAGTGATAACTCCCCCAGGCCATGTAGTTCCCCAAGAGGTAACAGCAGTGTCCTGGGGCAGGGGAACATCAGGATGGCCACAGGGGTTCCTGGAAGAGTTCTTGGTTTATTGCTCATGCACATCCTAAGAGTTACCCTGAGTTAAGTTTGCACCGGTTTTTATCAGATAAAAATGTTCCATCAGCACGGGCGCAGCAGGTAAAAACCTACCTGCTGTCTCTGTCCTTAAAGAGCTTACAGCCCAGCAGGGGCCACAAAACTAGGCATTCCTGGGCAAAAAAGAAATGAGCAAGCCGAAGTGATTTGGAGTGACAGGGACACTGGCTTTTGGGTCATGTCAGCTGTGGTCTCATGATTCACTAGCTCCGTGATCTCAGGCAGTTTCCCCAACCTCTCTGAGCCTCAGTTTTTCTGCCGGGTAATGGGGGATGATAACAGGTACCTGGCGGGACTGACGGTAGGATTAGATGAGGTAATGCTTGTGAAGAGCACGTAATTCCTTTCCCTTCTCCCCTTGCGGGCGGGCTGATACAGCAGGCTGCATGTGCGACACTGACGTTAAATGTGGAAGTTCGAATGAGGAAGAGCAGCGGAGGCAGGAGGGGCAGGAAGGGGAAATGGGAGAATTTCGCGGCACGTAGTGGGGTGCAATACGTTCTGTTGAGTTAACAAAAGAATGGACAGATGTAACATACGCCGTGCACATATCAGATCGTGTGGTCAACCCCCTTATGTAGATGACATTATCTCCTTTTTAAAAAAGCGTTTGTTTATTTTTGAGAGAGGGAGAGAATGTCAGCGGGGGAGGGGCGGAGAGAGAGAGAGAGGGAGACACAGAATTCGAAGCAGCCTCCAGGCTCTGAGCTGTCAACGAGCCGATGTCGTGAACTCAATTTCATCGTGAATCGACTGGAAAACAGAGATCAGACAACAACAACTAAACCCTGGGCATACTTATATATGTCTCTTTAAAAAGTTTATTATTATCTTGAAAAACAAGAGCACAAGTGGGGGAGAGGCAGAGAGAGAGGAGAGAGGAGAGAAGGAAGGAAGGAGGAAGAAAGAAGAGAGAGCTAACAGTGTTTACACGAATGAGGGATAACATTAAAGAGGCGTGATCCGAACATTTTCGTGAGGATCATGAGCTAAAATGAAGTCGAGTCAGGCAACAACAAACTGAGCCCCAGGTGCCCCAACATTGTCTCCTTTTGTAAGTGAAAATGGGCTCCTCCAGTTAAAAGGAGGTGCCCAAAGGCAGGCCAGGCCTGAGACATTGTGTGTCCCAGCTCTTAGCATCTTTCGGGAGGTCATTACTAGCATCACTAGAGAGGTCACTTGCAAAACCAGCCTTTGACAGGCTCCTTCAGAGAGAGAGAGTGGGAACCTCAGGCAAGTCCTGTCGGAGCAGGAAGGGAGAAGGCTGGTAGTGTAACTCCAGGCCTCCGTCCATGTCCCCAGAGACAGTCTCTGCATGATGGTGATCGCCGTGGTCCTTCAATCTTGCGCTGTTCCTGAAGCCCTCACCCGGCTTCTGTGTGGAGGAGGAAGATGAAGCAGTCTACGTAAAGTGGAGGGTCCCAGGGCGATGCCCGACCTGCCATCCCCTAGCAGCATCGCCTGGGAGCACAGCACCTGCTTCTCTTAGAGGTGTTGGGGCGACGTAATAGTGCGTCGTGTGTGTGTGTCTGGGGGCCTTTCTCCCAGCTCACGCCTTCCAAGGGTCCAGGTGTATACAGCCCAGCGTGCAGTCTGCGTGGTGGCTTGAAGCACTGAGGTACACTTGCGGGGGGCCTGATGGAGGTAGGTGTGGCCGGTGGTTGCTGGTCCCGTGCGGCCTTCTGGGGAGAGAAACACCCGTCTCCTTTCTAGAACCTTTCTGAGTCTTGGCCACCTGGGCTGGAGAGGTGGGACCATGCATGCGTGGCCGAAGCTTGGACAGGACGTCCTCGGGAGGTCTCTGCATCTCTGTCTCTGCACCTTTTCTCTCCTGAGAGAGCGGCACAGAGGTTTCTGGAAACGGTTTATATGAAGATCTAACATACATTACAAAATCAAGAGGAATCAGGTACACGGTACTTAGGGCGGGGTCTCTTCACTAGCCTGGGAGATATGCTTCTGGGGAGGATGGCCATCTAAGAACACTAGTGTCTTTTCCAAGTGACCATTACGACGCTTTCCAAGTCTTCCCCACCAGCCTGCTAGCTCTGGCTGGAAAAAACAGAAAACAAGAGAAAACCTGCTGAGAAGACGGGAGCCGACAAATCCCCAGCAGGCAATGAACACTGCTCTTGCCTATTAAGAAAATAGTTTTGACCTCCCTTTCTGCCCAGCTTCTCAGCTAGGCTAAGCCCTCAGGAAAGGTCCCAGCTGTCTCATGACTTTAGCGCCTGGCAACGCAGAGTCTCGTGCCTTTTTAAAGTCAAGTTTGCTTTTCTGGGTCCCTTGGCCCGTCCTTGAGCTACGGAGAGGAGATGCTGAGCCGACCAATAAAGCAATAAACGTTGTAGCTGGCCCCGTGGTCTGCGTTCACAGCAGTGGAGAAGGCCTGGGTCGGCTGAGGAGGGTGCTGGAGAGGGGCTAGGTTAGCACAGAAGCCTGCCATGAAGCCGGCGGCGTGGCCTCCTTGGGAACCTCTCCAGTAGCCTCGGCAGGCAGGGGCCAACTCCGCCTGGTTCCCCGGGGGGGGGGGGTGCAGCAGAGGAACTGCAGAACAGTTGCAGGTGCCCCCACCGCTCTGCCCCTGGACAGGGCAGGAAGTGGTGACAGACCTGGGGGGAAAAGGCAGTGCCCCTGGCTGCCAGTGTGAGGCAGAGACAGGGGGGGGGGGGGGGCAGGGAAGGCCCTCTTCCTATCCCCATTCCTGGAGCTCGGCCTGAGAGGGCAAGGCAAGGAGGAGTCCTGGGGGGCTGGAGCTCCTGCGTGAGGCTTGACAGAAAGCCTTAACCTTTCCCTCAGGTCTGGGTTTGGGGGGAACTGGGCTCAGGGGCAGCTACCCCCGCCCCTGTTTCCTTGCGCAGCAGTGGAATAATGGGGTAAGAAACACAAAGGGTCTTTTTTCCCCCCATCACCACCATTTGCTGGGACAAATTCCTGAGGGCAAGTGTATCTTGACTGCAGTCACTGAAGCCCATGCTCATGACAAATTGCCTCTCCTTTCAGTTAGGTCTATGAAGGAGAACAGAGGAAATCTAGTTAAAACAATTTTTTTTAACGTTTTATTTACTTTTGACAGAGAGACAGAGATAGAGCGTGAGCAGGGGAGGGTCAGAGAGAGAGTGGGAGACCCAGAATCCGAAGCAGGTTCCAGGCTCCGAGCTGTCAGCACAGAGCCCGACACGGGGCTCGAACTCACAGACCCGCAAGATCATGACCTGAGCCGAACTCGGACACTCAACCAACAGAGCCACCCAGCCACCCCCAGAGGAAATCTATTTAGAGTATAAGAAACCCCTTGGGGGACTCAGGCTTGTTTCTCTGCTTCTGACTCAGGAGCGCCTCCCTCTGGGACCTCCTCCCTTGCTGGCTTTTCCCTCCTGGCTCCAGGGTTCTGTCTGCAGGCCTAAATCTCAAGTTCATGTGATCTTCCTCTGGGGCTCGCTTCTGACCTCTCTGCAGACACTTCCCTCAGGTCTGGGCAGAAAAGAAAAAGAGGAAGCTCCTGTTTCTTGCCAGATGCCCACAACTCTTTAGCCCTCCAAGACGGCTGCTGTTTTTTTGCTCTTAGCTTCTTCCTTGTCCAACGAGCCCTGCTGGCCTCCTCTCACTTCCTCATCAGAGCCCAGCTGGAAGTATGTAGTCAGGAGTGGGCAGCACAAAACACCTTCAGCCCCGTCTCCTGTGGGCAGGAAGAGAACAGGAAAGGCACGCGCCATTGGCCTTGTGTCCAGGACTTCATCCGGCTCCGTAGCTGCCCAGGCGCTGGCTGGAGGCCAAGGGCAGACTAGCTGCTAAGGCTGGATCTAGAGAGGGGGCTTTGAAACAGTGAAAACCTCTGAATGTGAAGGCCCTGACGTAAGGCTCAGAGCTCAACCCGTTATCAATGGTTATGTGGCAAATGCAAGTTTCTAAGTTACCAAAGTAAAGGAAGTGGCCGGAGACCCCTTGGACAGGGTCACTCGGTGGGATCCCTTCACACCTGGGTGGTTCCTTGCACGTGACACTTAATGACTCCAGTGTGAGTTGCTTTTTCTACTGTTTTTCCCCATCCTGGGGTGACTAATGACCACCTCCTTCCAGGAGACCGTCTTAAAAAAATTTTTTTTTGGTAATATTTGTTTAGTTTTGAGAGAGAGATAGGGGGGAGAGGCAGAGGGAGAGGGAGACCCAGAATCGGAAGCAGGCTCCAGGCTCCGAGCTGTCAGCACAGAGCCCGACGCAGGTCTTGAACCCATGAGCCGTGAGATCATGACCTGAGCCGAAGTCGGACACTTAACTGACTGAGCCACCCAGGGGCTCTTTTCTTTCTTTCTTTTTTTTAATGTTTACTTATTTTGAGAGAGAGACAGAGAGGGAGAGAGCAGGCGGGGGAGGGGCAGAAAGAGAGGGAGAGAGAGAATTCCCAGCAGGCTCTGTGTCATCAGTGTGGAGCCTGACGCTGGGCTCGATCTCACGAACTGTGAAATGATGACCCGAGCCAAAATCGGAAGTCAGATGCTCAATAGACAGAGCTACCCAGGCCCTTCCCCCACCCCCCTTTTACAATTTCTTGTGCAGGAGCAGAAGCCGAATCCCCCTGGAGAAGGGAGCACCATCTACTCCATGATCCAGTCCCAGGTACGGTTCTGTTTTCTCGAATCCATTCCATACCTGTCTATGGGGCTTCCTGATGCCTTTCGGAAGCTCGCACTCTTGAACGGCAAAATAAGAGCCTGGTGCTCCTAGAGTCTGCGTTAAGTTGGTGGAAAGATCCATGTGGTTCTGAAGTACCTTGGCAGAGCTGAACAGAGCGGGGAAGACCAGTGCAGGCATTCTTTCTCTCTCCATGCCTGGCAGCAGGTATGGCCCAGATAGTCAGCAGGAAGAGGGAGCTCGTCAGGGGACCCAGCTTCTGTTCTCCCTCCCTGCTACTGCCAATACTTGGGGCCCTTATAGTTTTTAAGAAGATCTCTGCTCTTTATTATATGTGTTTTCAGGAATGGATCTGGATTGTTCTCTTTTATTATGACTTCATGATAACATTTATTAAGTCCTTACTATGTCTATTTTCACTCCTTTAAAGTTTATTTTATTTAGTTTGAGAGAGAGACAGAGAGAGAGCCCAGGATGGGCAGAGGGAGGGAGAGAGAGAGAATCCCAAGCAGACTCTGCACTGTGAGGGCAGAGCCTTACATGGGGCTCGAACTCATGAACAGTGAGATCGTGACCTGAGCTCAAGAGTCAGACGTTTAACCGACTGAGCCACCCAGACGCCCCCACGTCTATTTTCTTAATGAATCTCACAAAGCAGCCTCACGAAGTAGGTCTCACACAACCTCCATTTCTCAGATGAGGAAACAGACACAGGTTAACTAACGTGCCCCAGGCCACAGACTTGGGTGGTGGCAAAGCTGAGCTAAAGGGCTTCTGAGCCTCCACTCCACCTGCCCCTCCCCACCTCTAACATGCTGGGATTACAGACATTCGCCCCTAAACTGGAGAAACATCCTCTAATTTCGACAACTAAAACGACATTACACCCTAGGCCAGGGTATCTCCTTCAAGGGTAACACTGCCTCTAGGTGGCAGTGATGAAAAGTCTCTGATAAAAATGGCTTAAAGATTTTTAAGTTTTCATTTTTAAAAATTAAAAAAAATTAAAAGCAACTCTTTTTTGTAAACAATGTTTCTTTAATTTTGAGAGGGAAAGAGGGAGAGAGAGCACGAGCAGGGGAGAGGCAGAGAGAGAGGGAGAGAGGAAACCCCAAGCAGGCTTCCCACTGTCAGCACGGAGCCCGATACGGGGCACAAACCCACAAACCGTGAGATCGTGACATGGGCCTAAATCAAGGGTCAGAGGTTTAACCGACTGAGCCACTCCAGAGCCGTTAATTTTTTATTTTTTAAAGAATTAAGTCCGGAAGGAGCAGCCTCTCCAATTTGGTGGCTAAGCTGCGGGGCAGAGAAAATCTTTGGGGGATGGTGACAGGCTTCAGAGAAAGATCAAGAGAGGAGGAAGAGAGAAAGTGAATGGGGTAGAGGGGAAGGGAGGACAATGAGGGAAGAGGGGAGCGGAGGAAGAAGGGAGGGGAGGAGGGAGAGAGGTGCTCAACCCTCATGGCCGCTTTGGAATTCCCAAGCTGGGCGTTTCCTCGTCCTGCTCCCCATAAGATAATGTGATTCCCTGGTAGTGGGTCCAAGTCAAAGCGCCTTCCAGAGAGATGTAAGATATCTGCCAGGTTTCTGGCTTTAGCCACATTGGATTCCCACGAAAGGAGTCTGAATATATGCAAGGAAGAGGTCATCCCAGACTGAGAGGTTGAGTGAGTGAGAAGGAGCCTCGTCTTCTGGAGTTCTTAGAAGGAAGACGGTTACCTGCCTCTGAGGACACCTGGTTCAGGTGCAGAAGAAGGAAGGCATGTTGCCAAAGGGAGGCACTTGAGGGGCTGAGGACAGCGCTGTGGAGAGTCTGGGGTTTAAATTCTGCTTCTCCTGCGAACATACTGTCTGACTTGGGCCATTTTCCCTTTAGGAACCTCATCTGCCGAATGGGGCAAATGGTGATCGTTCCTATCACAGGGGTGTATTATAAGGGTTGGGGGGCCCTACAGTACACAGTAAGTGCTGAACGGATAGCAGCTATGTTTACTGACACAGCAGGACCAGCATCCAGGCTGTCTGACCTCTTGGAGTCCAGGGCTCCTTTGAATAATATTTTCAGCTCTGTCCGGGCAGAACTGGGGGGAGGCGTGGAAGAGGTGACCTCCCTCCCTAGGATTGTCCTGGATCTATGCTTCTGAAATACTTTTACTTGTCTTCTCATTAGCCTTCTGCTTCCACATCACAAGAAGCAAACACCTTGTATGCATTGGTACAGCCTTCCCGGAAGGTGAGTCTTTTCCCGCAGGGGGTGCTGTGTATTTTGCGTGTGCACAGGCAGGTGCGCGTTTGCCGAGTGTGGTGTGTGTGCTTCCCTGTGAGATGTCTTCTGCTGTGTGTGTATCTGAGCAGCTCGGGTTCAAGGGCTCTACTTAAATGTTAATGGGCTAACTAGAAGTCTATTTGGAGAAAAAGAACAGGTCGGAGTCTAAGAGAACAGTGGATTAAAGGAGTGTCTCTAGGAGTTTCTGTGAGACAAGTACAATCAGAGACAGAAGGGCAGTGCTTTGTGCACAGGGACCATGGAGTCCTTAGCAGGTCAGCTGAGGCTATGGCGGAGAGAGACACCAGAGGGGTTACCAATGTGGGAGAATATAGCCCAGAGCCAGAGGAGTAGTCAGGACCTAGAGAGACGCAATGGTGATTTTCAGGGAACCAGAAAACGGTTCTGGCCAGTCATCTGCTGATGGAGGGCTCTAGGCTGAGGCAACCCGTCATGGTCCTCTCGAACCCTGCTCCAAGCTGAGCTCACAGGTCTTATGTGTACCCGGTGCCCATGGTCATCTTTTCACCTTGGGTGGGAGAGGGGTTGGAAGAATGGTATTTCCAAGGTTGGAGTCACAGTATGAAGACATAAACTTAACATGAGAGTATGGGAAGTTGGGAATGTGCCAAACTGCGGAAGTGTTGAGTACTTGCAGGTCAGGGTCAAATGGGGGGAGAGGTTTCAAACAGGTTTTCAGGCTTTTTTATTCACTCTCCTTCCAATAAGCCATTCAATCAACTTGGCTTCCACCTCAAGAGATATTTGTATTTAAGTTCTGTGCCGTAATACAAGGACATATGGATGGTCACAGGCACCAGGGTCACATGCTTGGTGTTGTTTGGGAGACTACATATTACTGAAAGTGCTTCTGAATTCCAGCATTTCCAGTGTTTCACCGTGGTCAGGGTCAGGGTAGGTGTTACGGTTAGTTCTCACGTGTGTTCTAGAACTGCTTACGCTGCGGGGGTGTGTCTATTACGTGTTGATGAGACGCATGGTCACAGGTGGTATTTGTATCAGGTCTGTCTGAAGACACATGTGTATGTGCTGGGAATGTGTATGCGTGCGGGCCTGAGGGGTATGTGGGTGTGGGAAGTGGGTTCAGAGGTCTGTTCTGGAGCCTCACGTCAGTTAGGAGTGGGACATTTCCCAACTTGAAGTTAAGTACTCTTTACTGTCTGAATTTCCAGTCTGAATCCAAGAAGAAGAACCACGGCCCTTCCCTCAATAATACTATCTATGAAGAGGTAAGATTCTGGAGCTCCTTCCGGAGGGGTCTAGTGCCCACAGGATGGCCTGGAAGTTGTACGTTTGTGAAAAAGTCATGCATAGGGTCTCAGAATCGTAGAGGTTTTAGGGATCCCCTAATCCAAATTTTCATTTTAGAGACAAAGAATCTGAAGTCGAAGGAAAGTGAGGGTCTAATTCAAGGTTGTATCATGTGTTGGTGTTGGACTCCCACTGGGGAGCTTGGGTTTTAAATTAGGGCTGTCCTCTGGCTAGTCCCCAGTTGTGGGCTGCACATTGGATGTCTCTCCTTTCCAAGGGTGTGTAAGGCAGGAGTGTGGAGAAGGGAGGATAAGTAAATCTAAACGATTTTCTAAAGTTAGCAAGTAATTGGGAACCATTCTAGGACACAGGTCATCTTAAGCTGCTGCTGGGGGCGGACACTGTAAAGTGACCATTGATCCTGGTAGTTGAATGGATTCCCATCAGGCCATTTAAGGACTGGAAAATAGAGACTCAACAGTTGAGGGTATATCGGAGGTGTATCCGGTGTATTGTAGCCCGACAGTGGTTTCAAGTCAGTTATCTCATTTAATCTTCACAGAATGCTATGGGGGTAGAGATAATTGTACTTCCCACTTCTACTCAGAGAAACGAAGGCATGGAGGGCACTCCCACCCACTAGACTCATGGTACACCAGAGCTTCCACCTGTGGTCCAAGAAAGATGTTGCCAGTGGTCGTGAGGGAGAAGGCGGATGGGTGTCTGCTGGGATTCCTGGCACTTCAGCTGTAGCCCCACATTAACGCCAACTGGACAGCCCCGGGGACAGCCCGGTGTTGTAGGGGACACTGAGTGGGCCAACGCAATCTAGGATGGGGTCATGAAGAACGGTGGTTAAAAAAACAAACACTAGGATTGGAGCCAGAGGAACTGAATTCAAGCCCCTCCATTACTTCATATTCGTTGTTGAGCCTGAGTTATTTGTGGTACCACTCCACGTTTCATCTTCTTAATCTGTAAAATGGGGGCAACAATTCATACCTCACAAGGGTGTTGTGAGGCTCTCCTGTGGGAGGGTCTGAAGTTCTTCTTCTCTCCCGCAGGTTGGAAAGAGACAGCTCAAAGCCCAGAACCCAGCTCGACTGAGCCGCAGGGAGCTGGAGAACTTTTCTGTGTATTCCTAGTTGCTGCCGCTGGTCTCCCTTCTCTCACATCCCAGTATCTGCTTTGGGACTCAGCCCAGTGGACGATACCACATGAGTCTACAGAATGGTGCCTGGTCTGGAGAGGATACGGGAGTTCGTTCAGGGTCTATATCTTGTTCTTAACATGATTTCTCTCAGCCAAGACTGTTAAATAATATCTCTCAACTTACAGACTGGACAAGACTGGGCGGAGAGGTTGGGTAGTTCACGAAAGACTGCAAAGCAGGTCCACGGGCGGGCGCACCACCAGTCTCTCAAATGCTATGCAAATGCAGAGTGTTGTATTATTAGCATCAAGATCCCTTCCCCTGGATTTCTAATGTGTTCCTCATCTCTCCTCTTCTTTAATCTGAGAAGACCACATTTCTAGACCCTCCCCTGCCCCAGGCCCCTCTTCCAAAGGGGAAGGAAAGATCATGGTGACTCAGGGGGAGAGAAACAGCTCCACCCCACGAGGATGAACTAAGTAGCTGTAAGCTGCCGGCAGGTTCTCCAAGGGACCGGACTTAGGCTGTCCTCAAAAACAGAGGAAAAACTCCCCCACCACATAGTAAACCTTTACCTCTGGCCGCTTGGTCACAAGGGAGAGGGCAGGAGTGAGAGCAGATGGTACAAAGTAAACCATCTCAGAGTGGAAAAATCACCGTGAGTCCATGCTGTCCCAGTAACTGGGCCGTGGGACCAGTTTTGTCTGCGGTATGATGTGTGATTATTAACCCGTTATTGATTAAAAACACATATTCAGAAATCTGTCTTAGCTTCTTCACAATTAGAGACCATATTCTGTTCAAGTTCTGAGTGCCGATGAGCGCTCTCCACGGCGCATGCTGGAGGGAGGGCTCAGCCAGCCGAGCAGCTGCGAGTTAGGCACTCTGCTGGGCTCCCAGAGTCCTCGGGCCAGACTCTTCCACCAAGCTGTGGGGCCCAGGCCTGAGACTGGCTGAGCCCAGGAGACGGGTGAGGGTGAACGGGAAGAGGTCCGACTCAGAGACCAGACGCCCTAAGGCAGCATGTGGAGCCTGGTTCTTCAATTACCCCGCTCTGTATTTAACATATGAATTTAACAGAAGACTATGCTGTTATTCGGAGGCAATCTAAATTTCTTTTCTGAATGCTTCCCCTCCATATTCTGTACTTTTCCTCTCTGTCATAGCCAAAGGGCAGTTGTGCCCATCACTAAACACATGTCTGTTTGATTCCTACGGAGAGGGGTCTGGACTCCTTGCAATCTATCAGGGTCTCCCAGCCTTGTTCACACTGGAGCAGACGATCCCGGGATTCCCAGATCCGGGGCCACTCAGTCTCGTGGGGGAGAGCCACACAGTACACACTTGCTCATGTCCTGCCTGGTCCCTGTCCCCTGGGGGCTGTGTGGCCGGTTGGCTGGCTTCCTCCTGGAGACAGATGTGGACAGACCTCATTTTGGAGGAGGTGTCAGGGCTAAACACCAGGAAAACATATGCAAAAGGAGTCTGGGGGTTCCGGGGCATGTACTGGGAGCTGAGTTGTAGTGTCAGGAGTCTGGAAGCAGAAGGAGCAGGAAATGATGGGTGTTGGAACAGTTCAGATGAACACCAAAGACATTCGCCATTGACTTGGCCTTTCATGCATCCTGAGTCGTGTAGATATTGAGTTGGCCCGATTTATCTAAGGAGCAGAAGAGACCCCAGGGGCCCAGGGCTTTTGGGGACGCTGTATTCTGGGGTGTAATAATGTACAACATCATCATATTATGTGTCTTCATTGGGCTTCTGAAATAATGCCTTACAAGGATAATTATCCATGCAACGACCAGCCAGCAAACAAGCAGTAATTAAGCTCCTGCTGTGTATGAAGCACTGCTTGGCCCCCGGGGGGGTACCCACTGTAGGACACAGAAGATTTACTGACTCCACGGCCACGTGCAGGAGAGTATGACAGCAGAATTCCAACGTTAAAGGACATAAATGGGCTTTGAGGTTCCTGGGTGGCTGTCAGTTAAGCATCCGACTTCAGCTCAGGTCACGATCTCATGGTTGGTGGGTTCGAGACCTGCGTTGGTCTCTGTGCTGACAGCTCAGAGCCTGGAGCCTGCTTCAGATTCTGCGTCTCCCTCTCTCTCTCTCTGCCCCTCCCCTGCTCGTGCTCGCTCGCTCTCTCTCAAAAATAAAGAAACTTAAATTTAAAAAAAAATGGGCTTCGAGGTGCATGTGACACAAACGTACACTATAGTATCATGACTATAAGTCAAGGGTAGAACAACTCATGGGGATAAGGCTGTGCTACAGTCTGGGGGAGAGGAGACATACTATGACTGTTCTACAGCCGGACCTGACAATAAGGAGGGAAGTTCCTTTGGGTAAATATGGGAAGTTTATGTGGAAGGGGCATTTTAAGCCCTTAAAAAAGATATCCAAAGAATGATACACACATATGATTAAAAAAAGAGGTACAGAAAAGCATACAGTGAAAACAACAACCTAGTTCACTCCCCAGAGGCAGCCACTGATAAGTTTTTTTGTTATTTTCTTTCAGAGCTTTTGCATAACTACATAAGCATACAGATCTACATTTCTTCGTTTTTATTTTTTTTTTAACATGTATTTATTTTTCAGAGAGGGAGAGAGAGAATCCCAAACAGACTGTGGTGCCAGAGTAGAGCCCGATGTGGGGCTCGAACCCACGAACCATGAGATCATGACCTGAGCCGTAATCAAGAGTCGACTGCTTAACCGACTGAGCCACCCCGGTGCCCCGATACACATTTCTTCTTTATCCAACTGGTAGCAAGTGATACGTACTGTGTTGGACCCTGTTCTTTCTGTTCTTAGAGCTCATTCCTTATTAGCACACACTGGTCTTCACTTTCTTTACAAAAGTGGCAGGGCTTGCTGTTGCCTGGATACGCCATTGGGCATTTAGCCAGATTCTTCCTAAATGGACATTTAGGCTATTTCTGTTTTCATTCAATTTTTTTAAGTTTATTTACTTTTTTATTAAAAAAAATTATTTTACATTATTATTTATTTTTGAGAGACAGAGAGAGACTGAGCACAAGTGGCGGGGGGGATGTGCAGAGAGAGCAGGAGACACAGAATCCCAAGCAGGCTCCAGGCTCTGAGCTGTCAGCACAGAGCCCGATGCAGGGCTTGAACCCACAAACTGTGAGATTGTGACCTGAGCCGAAGTTGGACGCTCAACCGACTGAGCCACCCAGGCGCCCCTTTTTTAAAGTTTATTTTTGACAGAGACAGAGCATGCATGGGGGAGGGGCTGAGAGAGTGGGAGACACAGAATCGGAAGCAGGCTCCAGGCTCCGAGCTGTCAGCACAGAGACTGACGTGGGGCTCGAAGTCACGAACAGCGAGACCTGAGCAAAGTCGGCCACTTAATCGACTGAGCCACGCAGGTGCCCCTCTGTCCTTCTATTTTATTTATTTATTTATTTTTTTAAATTTTTTTTTTTTCAACGTTTATTTATTTTGGGGACAGAGAGAGACAGAGCATGAATGGGGGAGGGGCAGAGAGAGAGGGAGACACAGAATCGGAAACAGGCTCCAGGCTCTGAGCCATCAGCCCAGAGCCCGATGCGGGCTCGAACTCACGGACCGCGAGATCGTGACCTGGCTGAAGTCGGACGCTTAACCGACTGAGCCACCCAGGTGCCCCTGTCCTTCTATTTTAAAAGATATGGCAGTGGACATAATTTTACACAGATCTTCGTGCCCATGAGTGAGAATATCTGTTGGATCCATTTTATCACCTGTTTAGAAGATGGTGTGAAGGTCCAGGGCCCTTTCGGCCACATGTGGCCAGCCTTGGCAAAGCTCTAAGGTGGTGCCTCTGAACTGAGGGGGGGAAACTGAGCCTGCGTGGAGATGGATGGAGCAGGGGCATCTTGAAAGCCAGGGACTCCAAGAAGGAGCCTGTTCTGATCTGTTCATGGGCTTGGGAAGTTACAAGGGTTTAGAAAGGAAGGGCGAGGGTCAAACCCAGGCACCTTTGAGATGCTGAAGGCAGTTCTGAAGTGCTCTGTCTGCAAGAGCATCAGGCCCTGCACAGTCCAGAACCCTCTCCGACCACAGGGAGAGAAGCAGCAGCTGCTTTTCCTTTCAGTCCAAATTTTCATAGGTAGGGGTTTCAGGAGACTCCAGATCATTCTGCTGTGGTGGTGGCACCACCTGTGAGCCAAAAGACACGCAAGAATATGGTTAGTAAAGCCTGGGAGGCCCTGGTTTCCTCGCCCCTGTGCCGGTGAGACAGGGAGGTGAGGCCAGGCTAAGATTGGTCCATGGTGTAGAAGTCGGATCATATGGACTGGCCCAGCAATGGAACAATCCATCAAGTTGACGGCAGGCATTTATGGGGACTCTCCTAATGGGAAGTTGGCTAGGCTCTCTGCGAGGGAGAGGACAGTTTAGCGCTGCAAGGTGAGGGGCCACAAAAATGACAATAAAAGGCCTCGCTCTCAAGAAGCCATGGTCTCATGAACTCAGCCTCTGCCCCAGCTGGAGAATGTAAAGACGTCAAGCTATTTCGGGTGGCAGAGATTATGGATCAAAGTCATGGCCCAGACCAGTAGGCCTTCGTGGTCCCAGGGTTCTGAGGACTCCTTTTTGGAGACTGTTCAGGGAGGGCTCTGAGGAACAGTTGAGATGTGAGCGGATGCGGGGAGCAGGGGAGGCGGGGAGGCGGGGGGCCGGCAATAGCTTGACGGTGGCTTAAACCTTCGAGATGTCGTGCCGGGACTTGGGTGAGAAAATAAGTTTGAGAATTTCCTGCCCAAGTGGGCGAGAGCCTTAGGGGACCCGGAATCAGGACGGGTCCTCAAAATTCTGAAGGCAAGGGATAAATCCTGTTAAGACCTTGGCTGGGGAAATGCATTGCTTTCCACTTAGGCTGTGGCTGCAGGGGTCTGGAGTCCCTGGGGTGGGACCCATGTACCACTGACCGGACACGTGGGGACTCCAGGCCATTCTGAAACTCAGAGCAGGGACTGACGTCCCTGACTTTAAGATTGACCAGTGTTGGCCCAAACACAGAGGGCCAGGTCAGAGAGAATCCAGCGAAAAGTACAGGTGTGGCCTCAAGGCCATAGGTGATGTCCCTTACTGGCTCAGCATAGGCCACGTTCCCACAAGACAGGACAGGAGGCCAATGGTGGTTGAACTGAGCTACACATCTGCACAAACTTTTACTGAGCAAATTCTGTCCAGTTTTTCAAGTTTATTTGAGAGAGAGAGAGAGTGTGTAAATGCGGGAACCCAAGTGGGGGAGGGGTAGAGAGAGAGAGAGAGAGGGAGGGAGAATCCCAAGCAGGTTCTGCACTATCAGCACAGAGCGCGATTTGGGGCTCAAACCCACGAACCACGAGATCATGACCAGAGCTGGAGTCGGATGTTTAACGGACTGAGCCACCCAGGCGCCCCTCTCTCCATCTTTTAAGGTCTAATTCAAATTAATTTTTTCGTGGAGCCTTTCCTGTCTACCTCAGTGCAGTGGTATCTTCCGCTTCCAATGTCTGGAAAACGCTTGGGAACTGCCCAACTAATGTAGAGTGTTTTCCTTGCCCCTGCAGGTGACTGAAGTGGCTCCACTCCTCCACCGAAAGCCAATAAGACAACAGGTCTTCAAGGTGTAGGATGGTGCCTTAAGCACATCTGAATCCCCAGAGCCCTGAGCCCAGTTCTGGGCAAACCAAAGGTGTTCAATAAATGTCTACTGATTGATTCATCAATCACAGGGTAGTAGCATAACTGAAAAGCTTTGAGGGTTCTTTTTTTTTAAAGTCTTGTTTTGGGGGTACCTGGGCAGCTCAGTTAGTGGGGCATCCGACTCCTGGTTTTGACTCAGGTCATGATCTCAGGGTCGTGAGATCGAGCCCCGTGTTGGGCTCCACGCTGAGCTTGGAGCCTGCTTGGGGTTCTCTCTTTCCCTCTCTCTGCTTCTCCCCTGCTTGCACGTTCTCTCTCTCTCAAAATAAATAAAATACTCATTTAAAAAATCTTGTTTGGACATGTTTAAACAAGGAGGAAAACAGGGAGGGAATTCTGGAGATTTGAAAGCAAAAGTATATATGAACCCAATGTTCTCAGGGAAGTGAAAGTGAAGCAGGCAGCTAGATTCAAGCCAAGGTTAATTGTTTAAGATTACTCAGGATTATTTTAAAGCTCCTTGTGGTTTTTAATACTTAAAGTCCAACTACTATCTGTATGACTTTAGGCAAATTTAACTTCTCCGGATCTCGGCTTCGGGATGACAGCACATTTATAGAGCTGTCCTAAGGATCACGCGAGAATATCAATGTTTTGTAAACTGTAAAATGTCGTGTTAAAGTGGGTTATTATTATTATTTAATGGTAAGTTCTACCATTAAGGGATCTTTTAACACCACAATAAAACCAATGTGTTGTAGTTAATGGCACATTCTCCAAAACATCTTGGCATTGGACTCTTGGCTAATTTCTAATTATTTGGGGAAATTGCCATTTTGGTGGATTGAGATGGGTTAGAAATAGATTTAGGAGGCATGTGGGTGGCTTAGTTGGTGAAGCATGCGACTTCAGTTCAGATCATGATCTCACGGTTCGTGAGTTCGAGCCCCACCTCGGGCTCTGTGCTGACAGCTTAGAGCCTGGAGCTGCTTCAGATTCTGTCTCCCTCTCTCTTTATCCCTCTCCTGCTTGCTCGCTCTCTTTCTCTCTCCTCCTCTCAAAAATAAGTAAACGTTAAAAACAACAGTAACAACAACAACAACAACAACAACAACAACTTGTGAAGCATTTAGCACAATTCCTGGCACAACGTAAGCAATAAAGATTAGCTATAGAAAAAGGAAAAAGAAAAGAAATAGATTTAGAAATATACATAGATTATACACTATTTGTGTTTGCAGCCCCTTATGCTAGTTAGTGGTAAGAACAATCAGTATAAAATATTATTAATTCAATTAGAAATGTTCAGCCTTTGGCCAAACAGATATAAATCGGAAACATTTGTGTAAGCATCTCTATTGACCACGGAGTGTGTCTGGGGGGGGGGGGGGG